TTAAAGCAATAAATAAAAGCAAATATAGTCAAAAGTAAAGAAGTAAAATATATTCCAAGACACAAATTTGGATATTACCTGATGTTAGCTAAACAAAATTAGACATCTAAGCTTGAATTAAATTTAATGACTAGATTTCTTTCTTGATTTATTGGATTATCACAGCTCCACTATTTTGCAAATAATGAATAATCACATACTCTCATTGGTTCTAAACGAATACTTTTAATTAAAACTCCAATATTTCTAATTCAGTACTTATGCTGTTTCATAATTTTAACTATCAACTCTTATCCCAAAGCATGGCACTTTCTTTGAATCATTGAAATCCTCCGCAATTTTCAAAGACTATCAATTATTTCACTTTCATTTCTAATTCCATCTAACTCCTTGAAAAACCCTTTCTTTAAAACCACAACCAGCCATTCTTCCTGATCCTATTTCCAGGTATAAGAGAACTACTGGGGAAAACTCAAAACAAAGCAAGACTGATACATTAAGAGTTTTTAAAGAATACTCCAACCTACCCATTACTACTAAAGGTAGTACTTATGCTTCAAATTTCTAGGCAATAATCTGCAGTGATTTTAGTTCTTTAAAATACAATGTATTTTTCTCACAAAATCCACGCTTTCCATGCTTCACACGCTCTCTCCTTAATTATTGACATATTCAAATTCAATAGTTATTACTGATGAAGTCAATTGTTATTCTGCCAAAATGCAGAATGAAGTCTCAATTTCCAACTTCCTCTATCTTAACATGATTTTGTCTCTGTATGGTCCTATCCCATTCCTTCCACTACTTCAGAAAATGAGTTTGTTGCTCCTTTCCTTTGATGAGAACTTCATTACCTATTCTGAGGATTCTATATAAATCTGACTTTTCCAAATCTTGTTCTCACCTCTGCCCTTTTTTGGCAAAAACATTTCCTATTCACCAGTCCCTTTATCTATTTATTGCATCTACAAATAACTGATCACTTTTTAATTAATCTCTCTCCTAGACTATCAGTGTTCGGTTTCTCTCATTTACACATGGCTATATTGTTTTCTTTTTCTCCCCTCCCTTTTGTTAATTTCTTTTACATTCTTACCCTTAATGCTGAATATTTCCCTCTCCCTACAAGTTTAATCTTTATTCTTGTTTTCTCATTATCTACTAGAAAATGAAGTAGAAGAGAGTGGATAAATAGGGGATAGGGAGGATGTTTATGCTGGCAATTTCTAGTTGTTCATATACATGGGGGTGGGAAAATGTTAACTATTGCTCACCACTCTCTATGAAGAAATTACTTATTCTCATAGGTATCACAATTGTAGCGATGGAGTAATTTCCCGATTCAATTCTCTATAATCTTAATCTCTTTTCTGAAACCCAATCCATGCTCTTGTGTATAACAGTTACATTTTTATGTCCCACTATTAGACATTTCCTGAAACAACTAAACATTGGCATCAACTTTCCCATGTAAGGTATCTTTCCTATTTTTTGAATAACCCAACTGATCTGTATTATCCAGAGTAGAACAAGTGTGTCATCTCTTTTACTTCCTATATCCAGTTAAGTGATCAGCTCATCATTTGGGCTGCCATATTATTCTCATCAAAGAGGAAAAGAATTTCCCATCCAAACACTCATTCTTCTTGCTTGCTAGACTTACTATAATCCTACCTCTTTTCTTTTTTTTTTAAGAGCAATTAGCAAATTTATTTAATTTTGTATTTATTTATTATTTTTTAAAGATTTATTTATTTATTTATACAAGCACTGGGTACAGTCAGAGGTGCGGGAGGGTGAGAGAATTCACCAGAGCCAGAGTGGAGAGTAGAACAGGCAGAGTGACGAAGTACACTGCTGAGGGGAGCAGCGGGCGACAGGAGAGGTCTGCGTGCCATGTGGGACCCTCGCTGGGGGCTGGGGATCCAACTGGCGCTGTGGAGGCTGCGGGCAGCTTTGCAACCCAGTACTCAACTGCTGTGCCACTGGGGAGGCCCCAAATTTATTTATTTTTAACATTTATTTATGTATACAAGAACTGGGGGTAGGCCAGAGGTGCGGGGGATGATAGGATTCACCAGAGAGAGTGAGGAGCAGAACAGGCGGATTTATTGCAATACACTATTAAGGGGAGCAGGTGGCCAGACAGGAAAGGTCTGCTGTGCTACATGTGGGTAAGCTCCCTGGCAGGAATAGTGCTCAAGCCTAACTCAGGCGGCAGAGGTGAGAGCAATAGCGTGACAGTGCTGAGACTTAACCTCTACACCACCAGGGAGGCCCCTTTGTGTAAAGTTTAAACATCCCTAGTGGTGGGTCTTCTGAAATCTTTCAACTGCCTTCTTATTTACTACGTTTCTTTACATCAGCAATTTTCTGCATTTTTGGTTTCAAGACCGTTTACACTACAAAAATTACTGAGGGCCTCCCTGGGGGCAGAGTGGGCTAAGTGCAGCACTGTGAAGCTGTCCACAGCCTCTGCAGCATGGGTTCAATTCCCGGCCAGGGAGATCCCCACATGGTGCATCTGTCTCACCGGCAAGTCAGGAGAAGTCTGAAATACCATGTGGGTTGCTCCCTGGTTGAGGATCAAACTGATGCCGCAGTGGCTGCAGATAGCTTCACAGGTTGCATCTTAACCCCTTGTGCCACCAAGAAGACCCCCTCAGCAGTGTTTTTGGTTGTCTCTGTCTCTAGTGAATTCTCTCACCCTCCAGTGCCTCTGGCCTGTACCCCGGTTCTTGTATAAATAAATAAATCTTAAAAAAAAAAATTACTGCGGACCCTAAAGAGCTTTCGTGTATGTGGGTTACATCTATAAACAGCTGCCATACTAAAAATCAATCCTGACAAAAATTTTAAACACAAGAATACACAAGCACACATCAGACCTTGGTAGTCTCCCTATCTATCATTGATGATTACTGCTGAATAGTTTTTATGTCCATCTATATCTTGACAATAGGAAGACTAAGAATGACAGATTTATAAAATCATCTTTCATTATTATGCTTGCTCATTCACAATCTAACTCAACCTATCAATTTGTCTGCATCAGAATCTTTGAATACACTATTCCCTCTGCCTGGAAGGCATTTTCTCATTCATTGGTCAGATCCAGTTCATAAGTTACCTCTTCTATGAAGGCTTCCTTTGACACACCCCATCCCAGTTACCCTTTCTCGGTAATTTCATAGCACATTTAGAACTCTCCACACTGCCTTGCAATTATTGTGTATATGTAGGTCTCTACATGGTAGGAAGCTACATGAAGGCAGACTTGCACCTATATGTTTCTTATTTCTAGCACCTCATACATAGTGAGAGCCCAAACTCTTGACTATTCATTTGAATCTATGTCTTTCAGAGTCAGTTCAATGCTCATTTATCCCCAAATATTCCAAGTCATACTACTTACTCCTTCCTCTAAACGTCTGCAGTACTATATGGAAACCAGGAGGGAAAAGCCTAAGAGAAACTAAGTTACTTTTCCCCTGAAGTAAGAACGGGAACTTTGGTCCATAGTTTTAAGTCAAGCTTTGACATCAACTGCCTCCAACAAATGGTCCTTCAGTTTTCAATCTTATGTTCTATTATTTGCTGATTAACTTACTCCTCCTGTCAATCAATAAACACACACCCAATACTCATTCCTTCTGTTTATATAATTTCCTTTCCCATGAATTCCATTTCTCTGTTAATTTAAATTCTACTTTTCCTTGAAAACTTGGTTCAAGATGCACACATTCCACGAAGCTCTCAGGAACGATGTCAGACCAAAGGAAATTTTCCCTTTTTTTTTTTTTGATATCTTATGCATTTCAATCTATTCCTATAACCTAATGCAGTACTATCTTGCACTTATTTTTAATAATTTCAAATATGTCAGTGCTATGGTCCCAAATAGTTCAACAATTCAAGAGCAGGCACAGATCTCATTCAAAACATTTGTGAATCAATATTTACTAGATAATGGTAAATTTTCTAATTTTTAAAAAATCAGTCCCTGCTAGTAATGGGAAGGTGAAAAATACTGTAATAAATATTGTTTTCTTCAAAATTTTTTCCTATCTAGTCAGGATACTTCAGGTTGTGTTCCCCCCCAACCCCCTTGGAGGGGAGGAACATAATATTACACATATAATTTTCAATTTTAAAATAAAATATGTGCTAGAAGATGCAACTTCCCAGTACCCTAAAATTGAAAGCTTAAACAAGACACTTCAGTTGCAGGTAACTCACTATGAGACTTCACTTTGAGAAGCCCTTCCCCTTTTTGCTCCTCTGTGTTGGATGTATCTCTTACTTTACTTGTTACAAATTTAGCTACCTGGACACATGCTGAGGCATGATTACTGGTAATGATGCCAAGCCCTTCAAGTCCAACCAAAGGAAGGAGACAAGTAACACCCATGCATAAAATGAAAATCTAAGCTTTCAAAACCAAGAAATTATGCTAATTGGATCTCAGACCAATGTTTTTCCTTAAATGGAATTAGTCTGAGGGGTCACATCTTCCCTATCATCATTTCCTTAAGTATTCACACCCAAATGGAGCAAGCATTAGTTAGAAAGTGCACTAAACATCACCATCAAAACTTGCTACATGGATGGAGGGTAACGCTCTTCAGAGAAGATCGTTTCCCCCTTTTCTCCTCTCTTTTCCATATACCAAATTCGATAAGAAGGGGTAATAGAGTAAAACAGAGTTAAACACTGAATCATAGGGGTTAAGATGCGCTAAGACCTAGCTATTTGTAAGTCAAACAACCGCAACCGAGCCAACCCTTAAACACTACGGGACAGATGGGATGCTGCCGGCAAGTCTTTCTGGTCTATGCAGACGTGCCGTCTTTCAACAAGGGAGTCCCAAAATGAATTTCACGTAAGAAGGAAAGGGTTACTGAGGAAAGAAAGGAGGGAGCCATCAGATGACAAGCAGCAGCTACCGCACCCCTTTCTCCCCCTCCCCAAAAGCAGTAGGAAACAGCTGCACAAAGTACCTTCCAGGCCAGAAGCAAAACATTGAGGATGGCCAGCAAAGGGCAGGGTCCGTTCTCATTCTGCGTGATGATGGGTGTGTTCTCTTCCTTCCACTGGATCCACTTGATGTGATAGACAGACTGTCCCGGGAAGCGTTCCTTGGAGGCCGCCAGCACCAGCGCTGCCTGCTCCTCCTCCCCTGCCTCCTCCTCGCGGCAGAGTGGCACAGCCCGGGGCAACCCCGCCGCGCCCTCCTCCTCCTCCTCCTCGGGGACCCTATTATCTGCTCCCTCCTCACTATTGAACTCGGAGCTACTGGGGAAAGAATGCAGGTTAGAGAACGACTCCAGGGAGTCCAGGCTCGGCGATTCCCCAGGCGGGCTCGGGTCGCTGCAGCTGCTGCTGAGGCCGCCGGCGCTGCTGGGCTCCCCGGAGCCGGCGGCCGCCGATGCGCCCCGGCAGGTGCCTGCACGATCCGGGCGGGCGCCCGAGTCTCCGGGCGGACCCAACCCGTGGCCCGCTCCGGCCTCGGCTGTGTCCAGAGCGGCGGTCACCTTGCGCTGCCCTCCCAGGGGCGCCTTGTGGGCAGCGGCACTCTCCAAATCGCTCTCCTTCAAGTCCAAACCCGGGAGGCTTCTGCAGGGTTCGGGAACCTGAGGAGAGCCCGCGGCAGAAGCCGCGCCCGGGAGGCTCCTCCCGGCGGCCGCCGCCCCCTGCCCATTCCCACCGCTGCTCTCCGCCGCCCATACTCCAGGACCATCCCCAGCCGCGAGCCGGCTTCCCAGCCGCGGAGAATCCGTGCCCGGCGCGGGCCCGGCCGCCGCCCCGTGTTCCAGCGGCTGCAGGCTCTCGGGGCCGCTCTCCATGCCCGGCCGCCCGCCCCTTGCTCTAAAGAAACCGCGGAGGGTTCTCCTCAGCCAGCTCCTCCGACGCCATGACAGCGGCACTGGCAGCTACAGCGCCCTTGCGCGGCCTCGGCCAGGCACGTCAGGGGTAGGGCGCCGGGAGCGCGCCCGCGCGCCGCTGCGCGGGCCGCCGGGGCAGAGGGAACCGCGCAGCGGCGGCCCACGCGGCCCCGCCCCTCCCGCGCGCCCGCCGCGCCCGCGCGATCGGAAGGCGGGGCGTGGCGGGCGTGGCCCGTGGGCGTGGCCAGGGGCGCGCCGCCGCGACCGCAGCTCCAGTAGGAAAACATCCTCTCCCTGGGTGGCCGGAAGTTGAACTCCGGGGCACCCGGAACGCGCGGCTGCTTTAAAGGCGCGGCGGGCGGCGCGAGGGGTGGCTGTCGCCCCTGGAGCGCCGGGGCGCGTGTGGCCCCGCGTTGGGCTCCCGGGGTGGGGAGCTGCCCCTGGTGGTAGTATTCGGAAAAGAGCCCTTCTCTGAAGGGCTCTGGAGATTTGTTTCTCCCGCTTGTAATATGGAAAATGGAAGGGATTTCTTAAGAGATGCAGGTTTTAAAGGCCGGGACCCAGAGGTGTTTGGGTTACTTCGCTGCACAAATTCTGGACTCTCTAGGTTTTGGCTGAGAAGCAGCTCTCCGCTAGCTACCGGTGTTACGTTCGCCCTGCATGAGGCAGCAGTGCGGTTGTGGATGTTGGCCTGCACGGCAGGGAAAGAAAAAAAGTGGGTGATTTGGGCCAATAATAATATTTTAGCTTCTGTTTGAATCAGCCAAGTCTTTGCGGTTAACTTGACCTGACTTTGCATGGAGCGGGAAGCTGAAAAAATGACTTTTCTGACTAGCTCCTCGTAAGACCCGGCGACTCAGGGAACAGAGGAGTAGGCTGAAAGTTTAGTTGGTGGCAAAATGGGTTTGAGTCTTTTTTTTTTTTAAGATTCATTTTACTTATTTTATGCATACAAGAGCTGGGGTACAGGCCAGAGGTGGGGAGGGGGTGAGAGGATTCACCAGAGACAGCGTGGGGAGCAGAACAGGTGGATTGACTGAAATAAACTGCTGAGGGGAGCAGCGGTCCAGACAGGAGAGTCTGCTGCGCCATGTGGGTGAGCTCCCTGGTAGGGGATCGAACTCGTGCTGCAGTCGCTGTTGCTAACTTCATGGTGCTGCAACTTAACCCCTTGAGCCACTAGGGAGACCCCGGATTTGGGTCTTATTCGGACCTATCCCGACAAGGGCTCCGCTTCCCTCTCTGTCCAGCCCTCTTTTTTCTTCAACACTTTCTAGACCCTGGCTCTAGCCTTATAAATACTTGATACACAGGAATGTTATCTTTTTGTATCTCTTGGTTAGGGAAGGTGGTCAAAATTACAAAGTAGACCAAATTTACAAAGTACCCATTTAACACATTGGAGCAAATGCACATTGCTGAATGCTGTGCTTGGCACTAGGGATGCCCTGGTGAATACGGAAAGGGCTTATTCATATCTTCATGAGAGTTATTGCCTGCCTTTTTTTTCCTTGTTGCTATATTTTTAATACTTGCTTGGAAAGTAAGTTTTCCTGAGAATGCAGTAGAGCTCGTTCTAACCTCTCTACACTGACACAATATAGTGACATTCAACTTTTGGAAAAGAGGAAAATTACAAAAGACAATGGAAAGCTTTTTTAGAATGTGGAATTTAGGAGTTTTGTGTATTTTTGGCCTCCATGTCAATCTATAAACAATAAATGCTCTTGTTCAAATTAGAATTCTTCCCTGAAGAAAGAATTGCAGTGATTAAGCATTTTATTGTATCTAAGGTCAAATGAGTGGACATGAGAATATTACAGATTTCATGAAGTTCAGAATCTAGCATGATGTCCCAAATTTAAAACTGTGTATTACATGGGGCCTCCCTGGTGGTGCAAGGGGTTAAACACAGCAATGTAAAGCTATCTGTGACTTCTACAGCACAAGTTCGATCCCCAGCCTTCCAGGGAGCTACCCATGGTGCAGCAGACCCTCTCCTGTCTTGCCCGCTGCTCCCCTCAGCTGTGTTTTTCAGTTAGTTTGCTTGTTCTGTTCCCCTCTCTGTCTCTGGTGAATCCTCTCAACCGCTGCCCCCCACCCCCCCATCTCTGGCCTGTGCTCCAGTTCTTGTATGCATAAATAAATCTTTTTTAAAAAACCTAAAAACCCTGTGTATTATATGAATAAATTGAATTAATGAATCATTTACAGACAAAAACCACAGTAGAACCAAAAATCATGAACTGTGCACTTCATATAATGATCTTTCACCATTAAAAAATAAAAAAGCAAACCCTACTTCAATAAACCTATACTTACTCTGGCAGTTTTATAGATATGTTTCAAAGGATCATCTGCATAATTTAATAATTTATAACAGAAATAAATCAAGTTTTATTTTCATGTTTGTCAGCAATTATGTAAGCCAAGATAAACAGCTGTGGGAATGTGGGTGCTTATTTAAATTTGTGAAAATGTACATAGTTATTTTTCAAAGGGAGAAGGAGAGTGAGTGGCATCTAAGGAAAAATGCCAGAAAATAATAAACTGAAAAATGTCTCCTTATTTTGCTTATATGTATATTTAGTTAAACATGAAGTTACACACATGGCGCAACAGACCTCTCCTGTCTTGCCCGCTGCTCCCCTCAGCAGTGTAGATCTGCCTGTTCTGCTCCCCACTCTGTCTCGGGTGAATCCTCTCATCCCCTGCATCTCTGGACTGTACCCCAGTTCTTGAATGCATAACTAAATCTTTAAAAAACTAAATATTTCATTTTAAAGTAAAATGCTTACTTTTATTTTTCAAAGTTACAGATACAATAGTCTTAAACGTCAAAGTTTACATGAAAACAAAGTAGTACCCTACTCAACATATTTGAGTTCTGTTCTTTAGAAGCAGTCCCATTTAACTCCTAGATATTATTTCTTCCTTATCCTTGTATTTATAAGTAATTTTATTATACTCTGATTTCTTTTTTTTTAAAAGATTGATTTATTTATGCATACAAGAACTGGGGTACAGTCCAGAGATGTGGGGGGTGAGAGGATTCACCAGAGACAAGAGTGGGGAGCAGAACAGGTAGATTGACTGAAATACACTGCTGAGGGGAGCACCGGGTGAGACAGGAGAGGTCTGCTGTGCCATGTGGATCGCCTCCCTGGCTGGGGATCAAACTTGTGCTGCGGGTAGCTTCATAGTGCTGTGTCTTAACCCCTTGCGCCACCAGGGATACTCTGATTTCTTAATATAAATCATTAAATTATTCAAAAATTGGTCCTCCCTGGCGCAAGGGGTTAAGACGCAGCCTATGAAGCTGTCTGCAGCCTTTGCAGCACGAGTTCGATTCCTGGCAGGCCAAGGAACAACCCACATGGCACAGCAGACCTCTCCTGTCTCGCCTGCTGCTGCTCCCCTCAGCAGTGTATTTCGTCAGTCTGCCTGTTCTGTTCCCCACTCTGTCTCTGGTGAATCCTCTCACCCCCACACTTCTGGCCTGTATCCCAGCTCTTGTATGCATAAATAAATAAATCTTTAAAAAAATGAATTATTCAAAAATTATATTTATTGATTTGCTCCCATGAAAGATGAGGGTTTAGTTATTTTCTCTCATAATATTTCTTCCTCCTTTTACTCCAACCTCCCAATTATTTCAAATTTTTTGATTAAATAAAGTACTCTAAAGTGTTAGGGTTATATAAATATCATTCACCACTAAGTCAGGGATTTTCCTGTGACTGTGATTACATTTCTTGTTAAACTTTTTGTTCTTTCTGGAATTAACTATTGCCTCATCACTTTGTTTACATAACTCTTCACCTACCTCTAAATCAGCCTCACACTTACCAATACAGTCAACCATATCAAGTTACCTCTCAAACCTCTCTTAATTTCTTGCTCTAACCTGAACTTGTTTTACAGGCCACTTACACAGCTACCATACTGGGATTTCTCTTTGCTGTTTTCTCAGGAATTCCTTCCTCCCTTTTTCCATGTTGATTGCTTTCATTCTTGAATCCCCTGTTTTCCTCTTTCTTTGATTTGGTGGAACATATTCTTACTAGCTTTCTGAGAAAGAGTACGTGGGAAGCACATTTCTGTGGAACTTGTCTGTCTGCCAAAAGATAGCCCTTTAGTCTACCTTTCCATTTTATAGTTTGACTGAATATAAGATTCAAGACTGGAAATATTTTCCCTTCATTTTTAAGTCTCATTAAGTTATCTAGATAACAGGTGACTGTAGTGTGATACAATTATACTACAGAACCTTTGTGTGTAACCTGTTTCTTCACCCTGAAATTTCTTTTTGGTTTTACACTTTAGTGTTTGGTACTGCCTTTAGTATATGGTTCTTCTTGGTCTTCTTCTTAGTGTTTTGCATTTAGTTTTGGACATACTTTTGGATGGTTCTGGCTTAATTCATTGGGCTAGGCACATTCAACATAGAAACTTACATTCTTTATTTTTGGGAAATTTTCTTTTTAAATTTCTTTTGTATTCTTATCCATTCCCTAATTATATTTGGGTTTTTTTTGTTGTTGTTGTTGTTGTTCTCTAGTCAAAGAGATTTCCTCAACTTTATCTTTTGAATTTTTTTTATTGTTTATGAGTACAATATGTTTGATTTCTGAGTGTTCTTTATAGTTCCTTTTTACTGTTGAATGGCATCCCAACCTTTCATCTCTTAGTCTATTGATCATAACTTTTAATGTATATCTTTTAAAAATATATTTATTTATTTATGCATAGAAGAACTGGGGTGTAGGCCAAAGATACAGGGGGTAAGAGTATTCACCAGAGACAGAGTAGGGAGCAGAACAGGCAGATTGACTGAAATACACCGCTCACTGGAGCAATGGGTGAGACAAGAGAGGTCTGCTGTGCCATGTGGGTTAGCTCCCTGGCCAGGCATTGAAGTTAGGCCATAGGGATGACAGCGTGATAGTGCTGAGACTTAATCCCTACACCACCAGGGATGCCCTTAATATATATCTTATGTTTTTCAAAGGACATCTGAACCATATGCTATGAAAAAGTGGATTTATTG